TAGTAGGGGAGACAGAGCCATTTTTTGGGATTCTTTCAAAGCAAGAAACCATCTCCAGTCAAACCCCTAGCTGTTAATGGGAGACCTAAATGACACTATTCATCCCCAAGATTACTAGGGATCTAGCACCACTCACTCACCCTCTTTACCCCTAAGAAGGCTAATGGACCTCTTTTTTTTTTGTTGAAGTAGGCAACTCAGGCCCTTACATTACCTGGACAAACAAACAAAGTGGCTGGCACCTAGTTAGGGAGAGACTTGACAGAGCTCTGGCCAACACTGAATGACTAGATATTTTCCCAGACTCCAAAGTTACGGTTCTCCCATCTATTAACTTAGATCACAATTCCATTCTCTTAGACACCCTACCCACCTGTATGCTGGGGAAAAAAACCTTCCATTTTCTCCCCATGTGGATAGACAATGCAGCATGTGAAGAAATCATAGTCAGAAACTGGAACAGACAACCCCTGGCTCTATAGCTTTCAAAATTACAAAAAGACTAAACTTCATCAAAAGCGAGCTAAAATCCTAGAACAAAACAACTTTTGGTGACATATCCCAGAAAGTCAGAAACTTAGAAGAACAGATCCTCTCCCTATAGCAAGACCAATTAGGTGCCTTACAATAAGAACTCTGAGGTTTGGAAAGTTGGTATAATTGTTGGTTAGCCTATGAAGAGGAATTATGGAGATTGAAATCAAGAAAGCTATGGCTCAAAGAAGGAAACAGGAACACCTGATACTTCCACCTCCAAACAAAAAACAAGAGAATATGGTATAGCATTGAATGGTTTAAAGTAGGAACCCAATCATGGATCTCCGAGAGAGAACAGATAGGGAAGGCTTTCCAAGAGCACGTCCTCAAAATAAGTGGGCAGTCTAAGGACTTCAATCCCAACTCTGTAGATGGGTTGATCCATCCGGTCATCTCAACATCAGAGGGAGACCAACTTATTCACACACCAACAGAAGAAGAGGCCAAAACAACTCTCTTTTAAATGAACCCTCACAAGGTGCTGGGGCCCGATGGTTTCACTCCCTTCTTCTTCCAAAAGTACTGGCACATATTAGGAAGAGACCTAAGACAACTCATTGTAAATTTTTTTCATAGCCAACACCTACTTAAAGAGCTAAATCATATCACCTAGTCTTCATACCAAAAAAAGTAGGGGCAGAGAGTTAGTAGACCAATACCATCCAATTAGTCTTTGCAATGTGGTCTACAGGGTGCTAGAAAAAGTAATGGCTAATAGGCTCAAACCTCTTCTTCCCAAGATAATTGCTCCAAACTAGGCTGCCTTCATCAAAGGTAGAAACATTGTAGATAATGTAACCTTAGCCAAGGAGATAACCCACAAGATCAGGCACCAGAAGGGGAAAACCAGATGGGCAATGTTAAAAATTGACATGGCCAAAGCCTTTGATAGAATGGGGTGGGAATTTTTCATCCAAACCCTAAGAAAACTGGGGTTTCTAGAGAAATGGTGCAACCTTGTCAATCAGTGCATCACCACTGTCACCAACTCAATAAAATTAAATGGGAGTCCTCTTGAATTATTTCATACTAACAGAGGACTCCGGCAGGGGGACCCCCTATCACCCTATTTTTACATAATTGGAATGCAGGTACTAACAAAACTTTTGGAGAAGGAGGCTATGGAAGGCAGGCTGCAGGGCATAAAGCAAGCCAGGCACTCAGAACCCCTTTCCCATCTCCTGTTTGCTAATGATTGCCTCATTGTCAGTAAACCCACTCCAGAATCCCTCCTTGCTGCCAAATCTGCCCTCCTCCAATTTGAGCAAATAGCTGGCCAACAAATAAACTTCAACAAGTCAGGCATTGCCTTCAGTATGAACACGCATAGAACTCATCAGAGGCTCATGGGTCGTCTGGTAGGCATGAAATTAATGCAACCCAGGATGAAGTATTTGGGCGCTTGGATGGATGAAGCAAGAGGAGGCATTGGCCCTCATGCATAAACTCTTACAAAAACAAAAAGCCAATTGGACACTTGGAAAGCTAAAGTGCTTTCTCAAGCAGGCAGAACTACCATGCTAAAAGCGGTCGTCTAGAATATACCTGTCTACCAAATGTCCACCTCATTATTCCCAAAGTAGACTTTGAAAAGCTGGATTTGCAAACCAGTCTGAAGGGGGGCTAGGCCTCAGGAGGCCACAATATCCCTTGGAGTAGGATTTGCAAACCCAAATCTGAAGGGGGGATAGGCCTCAGGAAGGCAGAACCAATGAACAAAGCTCTTTTTGCAAAACACTTTTGAAGGTTGCTAACAGGAGAGAAAAACCTGTGGAAGGAGCAAATTCAGGCAAAATACCTAAGGAATAAGTTCATCTTTAAAGTCAAACCAAGGAGATCTCACTCACATTGGTGGCGAAACATCCTAAGTATTAGGAACGGTCTCACACCACATCTCTGTTGGAAAGTGGGGGATGGAACTCGCATCAACTCTCACGATGATCCTTAGATCCCAAGCCTTCCCTCTAATAAACCCCAACCCCAACAACTACAAGACCCAAATGTCAGAAATTGGATGGTCAAAGACTTCATCTCCTCTCAGGGGGTTTGAAACTCCCAACTGTTATACCATGTCTTCACAGATCCATCAGTTGAAGTTATCCTAAATATCCCTCTGACCCCACAAAGCTAAGAGGACAAGCTTTTTTGGAAAAGATCAAAGGATGGGGAGTATTCAGTTTGATCGACTTACAGAAGCTTCTCATACTCTGAAACTGTGGGTCCCTCTCGAGAACAAATCAAGTGCTCAAAATTATGGACCACAAAAGCCCCCTTTTGATGCCAACTCTTTAGATGGAAAGTCCTAATGAATGACGTAAAAACGAAGCACTCAATTTGGTTCTTAAGACACTCGGGGGACTCCACTTGTGTCCTTTGTGGCAATGCACTAGAAACGCAGGCACATCTCTTCTTTGATTGTCCCCTAGCAAGGGCAGTCTGGCTGTCAGCGCAAATTGGCTTCAACCCAGAAGCCTTCACTCTCTCAGGAACATCGAACTTCCTATCCTGGTGGATGAAAAGGAACCTCGAAAAGAAAAGCCTCTCAGACTTCTTCTTGGCTAGATTGCTAGCCATCTTGAGGGCTATATGGGATCACAGAAACAAAGTAGCCTTCAAAGGAAGGTCCCGAATCCCCTTTAAGTCATAAGAAAAGCCAACCTGTATGTTACAGATATAGAAGCTCAGAAATGGTTTCAATCTCAAATCCAATCTGAACAAAACGAAATTCCCACCCACAATCTACCCCTTGCATTTCACTCCATTGCGATAGTTGATGGATCTTAGAATCCAACAACGAATTCAACCTCCACAGGTTCATATATAGTCTTTTACACACACAATGTTTGCTTTGCAGAAGGACAACAGTGCAATGCCATTAACTTCTCAGAAGCTTAGCTCTGGGCAATCATCAGAGGCCTGAGAAGACTTATCTTGCTGGGTATCAACCATGCCATCATTTTGTCAGACGCAAAGGAGATCCTATAGAAACTCAAGGAAACCAGAGTAAACACAAGGTGGAATGAATAGTCACTGATCGAGCATATCAAATTCCTTCTCTCTTTTTTTGTGGATCTTAAAATTGTGTATGTAAACAGGAATGATGTAGGCCTAGCCCACGATATACTTAAAAGGGCCAATGTAAATAGATCTTATATTCTAACCCTTAGACCCCTCCCCCCGAGACACAACGCAACCTTAATATGAGGGGTCTTCTTTTGTATCCTTAGCTTCTTTTTGTGCAATGGATCTCTTTGCTTTCCAAAAAAAAAGAATGTTTATAAATTTATAGGGGAATTTAGAAATCTGCATTAGGTTTGTCCGTAATTTTCCATAGAAAATTCATTCCAATCAACAAATTACATCTATCAACAACCCTACAAAATTAGGAACATCAAATCTCAGACCAGGTCATTGATCTATATTGCTGAATGGCAAACTTAAGGAGTGCATATGCCACTTAGTTACAACTTACAAGACATAGATAATGTATATTCATATTAGACTCCACAACATGGGAAATTGGGAAGGAAGCAAGGTGTTTGTAGTCCTTCATCTAAAGTGGTGTGGGATTTAGCATCATTGCATCAGCTAGAGGGAAAGGACCAAAGGACCATTCTGTCCTCAAAAGGAGTAAAAATAAACTCCATGAAAGTAGAGTTCAAATCAGCCCCCCACAATGTCCCACAGCACATCCCTGCCATGTATTATGAACATCTCCCGATGATGATATCATCATTGAGAGATGTTCCCAATACACGGCGGGGATGTGTTGTGGAACGTTGTGGGGGGCTGATTTGAACTCATGAAAGTAGCCCTGTTGATGGATTCCTAACAAAAGGGAAGTAAATGGCTAAATGCTAAATACTTGAGGCCCAAAACTTTTTAAAAAAATAGGAAAATCAAAGGCTTTTTTAAAAGAAAAAAATCATATGAGATACCATTGGTAATAATTTACTCTTTCAAAAATTCTAGAACATGAAGAAAGAGATTATTATTATTAAGTATCTAAGCATTTTGAGCTTAAATGGTTAGAAAATGCATTTGCTTGGAAGTCAAATCTCCGCCCTACAACGTCCCACAGCATATTCCGATCGTGTATTAAGAACATCTCTCTATCATCATGGGGGGTGTTCGCAGCGGAATGTGCTGTGGGACGTTGTGGGGCGGAGATATGAATTCATTTGGTTGGACCATTTTAAGTGAAGAACGAGGCCAAATGGCAACACATGGGAAGTCTTACAACTCACAACCGCTCCAAAAGGTGTTTTAAGCAACAGTAAGGCGTTTCTTGAAACAACCATGTGATGTGACATTGAATCCTACGTTATCAAACAAGAAATATGGTGTTTTGTGATCGTTTCCAATGTGACGTGGTGTTTCAATTTCTTCAAGAAAACACCGGAAACGGCCATGATACCAAACACCTCCTTACAAGTTTCACGGTTACACCTTTATACGAAATTGTTTCGAAAATGTCCTTTCAACCGACGGAAGTCGAATAGACGATACAATATGGCCGCCGGGTGAGGGAGGAGAGGGGAAGAATTAGCAGCTTATTTCATGGGAGCTTCAGCTATCTCCTTCAGGGACCCTCTCGATACCTTAATCCGTCTTCGGAAAACTCTTCTTTCGCCTGTAAACTATAAGCTTTCCTCGAATTCATGATCTATTTCTGATTATCCTATTCCATGTTAAGATAATCTCTTCTATCGGTAATTTGAGATTGCCTTTTATCCTTCTTACCTAAAAAAAAAAACATTGCTTTTTATCCTTATATTGTTTCCTATTGAATCAAAAGTCTGGGTTTCGTCGTGCGTGAATAGAAACAATATCCAGATTCTGTTGAACGCCTACCAGTTTGGCAATTGAGATTTTTGAGGTTAGATTTCTGGATTTTTCGAATTCATGTCTCCCTGAATAATATCAGATTTTTAGGGCGGCAGGCCCCAAGAAAGAGGGGAATGGCAGAGCCGAACAATTTTTATCGAACGAGGCGCCGTCGATTTCGTGGAATTTTTAATTTGCTCTGTACTCTGGTGGTCTTTTTCTTCTTCTACAATCGCGAAGATATTCTGAGGAATCCTTTCCTCAGGCAGTTGCCTTCTACTCTTCCTCCTCAGTGGAGCTCGAGAGGCGATTTTTATGACCGAAAGGGTCATTCAGAGGTGATTCACAGGAGAATCGTTGAAATTGGTCTTAATTCGTCGAATTATCTGGTCGGTACTGATGGTGAAGTCCAGAATAATTTGACGGTAGGCAATCCATCAGTTTGCAGTGGATTATTGGAACACAAGGGTTACGCCAGCCAATGTGAGTACGTGAAATCTCAACCGCAGTGCGCATTAGATGGATTCTTTAATTACATTATGTTCTTCTACTGCGACTGTCAGAACTTTAGGATCTTGGGGTATGCCGTCTTGGGCACATGGCTTCTTGCTTTATTCTATATGTTAGGTAATACTGCAGCTGACTATTTTTGTTGTTCCTTGGAAAAGCTCTCAATTTTGTTGAAGCTTCACCCAACGGTTGCTGGTGTTTCTCTACTTCCTCTTGGAAATGGAGCTCCTGATGTATTTGCTAGCATTGCCGCTTTTGTGGGCACGGATGTAGGTGAGGTGGGTCTCAATAGTGTTTTGGGTGGAGCTGTTTTCGTTACTTGTGTTGTTGTTGGGACTGTCTCGCTTTGTGTTGCAGAGAAGAGGGTTCAAATTGATAGGAAATGCTTTATCAGAGATGTTAGTTTTTTCATCCTCACCCTAATATCACTTTCACAAATTTTGATAATTGGGAAAGTGAGCGTTGGTGGAGCAGTTGCCTTTGTCTCGGTCTATATTGCTTATGCTTTCTCTGTTGCTGCGAATGAGGTCTTGAGGAAACATGCCCGGAGGTTAAGGTTGGATGCTGTGACGCCATTGCTTCCAGTCAGAGAAAGTATCTTTTCCACAGGAAGTGAGGAAGATGAATCTATTTACAGCTCACTACTTGACATAGAATCTGAGAGTGATCCACCACACCTTCAAAATACCTTACCACAGTGGATGTGGGCTTCAAATGTGGCAATTTATTCAAATCAGACATTGAAGATTAGTGAGTTAGATAGCCCAAGGCTTTTGTGGGGATGGACTGATGAAGTAACTGATATTGATGACCGGTCACTTATTTCCTGTTCTAAAATATTTTCTCTGTTGGAGATGCCCTTAACACTCCCAAGAAGGTTGACAATTCCAATAGTTGAGGAGCAACGATGGTCCAAAGTTTATGCAGTCTCCAGTGCCTCATTGGCTCCCATGCTTCTGGCATTTCTGTGGAATACTCAAGATAATTTGGATTCTCAAAGCAGAAAAATTGCTTGTGTCATAGGTTTTCTGGTGGGTGGTACACTTGGTATTCTTGCCTTTCTCTTCACCCAATCTGATCAGCCACCCCGCAAGTTCTTATTTCCATGGGTTTTGGGGGGTTTTGTTATGAGTATCATTTGGTTCTACATTGTTGCCAATGAACTTGTTGCCCTCTTAGTGGCATTTGGTGTAATTCTAGGAATCAACCCATCAATACTTGGATTAACTGTGTTGGCCTGGGGCAATTCAATGGGTGATTTGATGTCAAATGTTGCACTGGCAATGAATGGTGGGGATGGTGTGCAGATTGCTTTGTCAGGATGCTATGCAGGGCCCATGTTCAACACACTTGTTGGTTTGGGGATCTCAATGCTGCTTGGAGCCTGGTCACAGAGGCCTGCATCTTACTTGGTTCCCCAAGATAGTAGTTTGTTTTATACAATGGGGTTTCTCATGTCAGGACTTATCTGGGCACTCATTGTTTTACCTCGGAATGACATGCGCCCTAGCAGGTTGTTGGGTGTGGGCCTCATAGTGCTTTATTTGCTATTCCTCTCAATCAGAATAAGCAGTGCAATAGGTGTTATATCACTGGCTGGTCTAAATTGACAGTTTTCTGACCTGCCAAAAGTGTGTTCATGAATTGTTCACGTTGGATGTTTATTTCAACCAAGGTCAGGAGCAGAATTATTGCAGTTTTCGTGTACAATCAAGTTTGGCTGGCATTGTGAACCCTTTGTATTGTACGTGACAATACAATGTATACATAAATACGTAGGACACTGTTTCCTTGATGTATGCATTACTGGTTTAATGATAATTGAACAGAGATCTGCTCAAATCAGTTGTTTCTTCAAATCTTTTATTGTGTGTGCATTTTGTCATACGCTTCTACTGTGCTGGCCCTGATTTGGCAAAAGGTGTTTTAACTGAACTTCTTAGAGTATGTGGCTTCATCTATCTACTTGGAGTTGCAAAATCACTTGATAACAACAGTTCAATTTCAGAACTGAAACAAAATTTGGTTAAACTGTTGCTAGTACTAACAATATGCATGTAACACTGACCATGTGATGGTAATGTAATTATTTGGCAGATAAAGTGTGAGTTTGAACTTTGAAGTATTAATATGGCTGACTATGAGATTGAACAGGATTCTTATTATTAATTTATTATGTTCAACATGTTGACCCCTTCAGCAGATTATTGGTTTTTGTTGATGTCAAAAGACAGAAGATCCATTTGTTGATCCACTGCTCATTTGTGATAAAGTAGTAATTTTGCTTTTCTCTTCATCTTTTTAGAGTGATCTGTGTGATATTGATAGGTGCTGTGCGGAGTCTTCTTACCACCCAGCGTTGTTAAACGAAACTACCATGCTGAATCCAACCACTTCGTGCATCTGTCTCTTCTCTAATACATTGATTTTTTTGAAAGGTGCCATTCCATGGAAAATTCTCTTCTTGACCTAGCCTGGAAAAGTACAATTATCTTATGGTTGGAGATTAGTTCTGTAAGCAAGGTATATATATATATTAGTAAAAGGGCACGTGTGTTGCACGTGGGAGGTTATAATGATAATGTCAACCATTGGATTAATAGAGAGAAATTTAATAAAGTTTTCTGGCAAACAAGGAAATTTAGAAATGAACAAAAATATTTGTTAACTACTATATAGAATAAATGAAAAATTTTTTGAATTATATTATACTCTGTCAAACAAAATGATACCTATTCTTCATTTGTTTTGTTTTGTTTTTTTTTTTTTTTTTTTTTTTGGAGTTTGAAGAGCAATACAATACTGCAGTCATCAAAACATTATACTTGTTATTGAAAAGGATTGCATTCACTTCTTTGTTGTCCTTCCACTCTAACTTTCTTGTTGCATCTTGTGGATGTTTCTCAAATTCAATATCCTCAATGCCAGTACTTATGAGCTTCACAAATTTGCTGGGAATTGGATATTCATGCAAGGTCCCACATATTGGAACTACAGAAATTCTCAGCTTATGATGGGGAAATGGGGTGTGCATCAATCAGATCAAACAATTCATCCCCTACAACAAATCCAAGCATTCTAGCCATGTCCCTTGTCTTCAACTTGGGCTTTGGAATTCTATGTTGCTTCAACCAAGAGTACACAATAAAAGCTTTCTTCATTGCAAACAATTCCAATGCCTCTGGGTTGAATACAACACCCATTCTCATGCTCATCTGCGAAAAGAAACTGGGACTTTAGGAATCTAATGGATTGTCTAACAAACAAACAAGTTAATCGACTTAATCAGTAATTCAGTACCTTGTGAGGAACCAACATGGCTGCATAGCGAGCAAGCTCTCCGGCTCACCAGTCCAATACAACAGGCAACCATGGATAAGAAGCATCAAGCCTCACAAACCATAGTCTTATATCTGGGAATTCAGATAGTTCACGAGGATCATATGGATCCTCTCTTGTATAATTTATGGTAAAACCAACTTTCCGTTCAAGAAGCTCTTTTGGCTCTGCAAAGACACCATGTGGAATTCTTGGAAATTCCATTACAAGAGTTTAAAATATGTAAAGTTGTAAAAACAGTTTTCAGCGATCATAAAGAGTTCAGATTCTTGGTCTGAAGCCTTATAGAGTCAGAAGTCACAAACGGATGATTACTTACCTGATGAAAGTGAGCTAATTACTGGTGATATGTCGAGATGCTGAATAATATCATTGTCTATAACTACGCCAAAACGCCCTTCTGTGAGAGGCATTGGGGGTTCCACCTTCGGAGTATCTGACAACCAAAGTTCAATATAGTTAAATCTAGTGAAATTCACGGATTCTAATTTGAGTCTCAGTAACCCTTTATCTTCTGTGTCATTTGACATTGTTATTGGATCTGTTACAATTCTGTGTAAGCCTAGTAACCTGACCCAGCTTCAGACCTAAGAAATTATAAATTTACGGTAACTTGCTTGATTTATATTCGGCTTGCACAGAGCTATATCAAACTCAAACTGGGGAACACTGTTTTAGTTATTTTATAAAATTGAACAAAGCAGAGCTATGTTTTAAGACATACTGTAAGAGAGAGAGAACTGAGAGCAGGTACCCCAGAGTTGCATATATGTGCCAATTACACATGCTGCCCTGCTTAAAATGATCGATCAATTATGACCCTCTAAAGCATCCATCCTTTAGAAGGCCAATACTATTTAAAAAGTTTTTAACTTCTCAATGATCTCGGTCACAGTACGAATTTGGTTGACGTTGAGAAGAAGCATTGCATGCCTTCTCTTTGACGGCTTTCTGAATCCTCTTTGGGTTGGTAACCAAGAGATCATCTCCCACAATCTGCACTTTTTCTCCAATTTCACATGTTAGCTTGTTGTAGTGTTCCTAGTCAACTTGGTCAAATGGATAATCAATGGATACAATTGGGTATTCAGAGACAAATGATTTGTAGAGATCCTTGAGTGCATCTCCAGAGATCTTCTGTGACCCATTATTGTTATCTTCCTTGAAGTTTAGGTCATACGTTTTGTCCTTCCGATAAAATTCAGAAGTAGTAACATCCATGCCAATAACAACCTGGACTGTGTTACCAGATTTAGCAATGGCTGTATTGAGCAACTCAAGACCTTGTTCTCCTGAATGTTAGGAGCAAAGCCTACTTCATTACCAACATTCATGGCATCTTGACCATACTTCTTTCTTATCACACCCTTCAAATTCTGATATACTTCAGAACCCATTTTCATGGCTTCTTTGAAGGATGAACCAGCCAATGCAAACCAGTCAATTGTTAACTCCTGAGCCAAATCCTTTATCTAAATGGTATGCTGGAGGAGTACCATCCAAACAAACTGCAAAGAATTGTGAACTTCAAGGTAAAATATAGTAACAACCAAAAAGAGGGAAAAATTCTCTAGGAGTTCAATCTCTTTACCTATCACCATTGAAGGGTAGGAAAGGAGAGAGGAAAATAAAAGAAAAGCATTAATAAAGTTATTACTTGCACCCTTAGCTACAGCAGTGTTTAGGACTAAAAATATATGATGTAAAAAAAATAATATAAATAAATATAAAGCTTGAGGTGGGGGGAGATTTGACAACTGACCCACTCCACATAAATTCAAATTTAAGTTGTTCTGGTTATGGGAGGGAGTTAAGCAACCACAGTGGGGAGGTTGCTCTAACCTCCCTACCCCATAACTGTCTCCCTCTATATAAGGGGGAGAGCAGAAGAAAATTGAACCGACAGATAGAAGAGAAGAGAGAAAGAAAAAAAAGAGAGAGAGAGAGAAAGAGAAGAAAAAGGAGAGAAGAGAGGAAATAAGGGAGAGAACTTACAGATCTACTGATTTAAGTGATACAGGTATAGATCTTTTTTTTTCCTTTAAAATATATCTATTATTAATCCTTATCTTATCTTATCTTCTCTCTCGAGTTCTATTAGAACTCAACATCTTATTTCAATATATATTCTGAAAAAGATTAATACTTGGAGACTAACTATTGTTATGTTCGGTGGATCTTATGCATCTCAAAAGAACATTCAATATAATGGATAAAAGACATGTTTCTGGATCCCACTGTTAATGGATTTTATCCACTTAAAAAGGGATAGGTGTGCTGATTTACCACCTGTAATGCCACTTGCTACTGATAATTTGCTGTCAAATGTTACAGAGAGACCCACTGTCATGTGGATCTTATATAAAACCTTGCAACAGTAGATCACAATGTTGCAATCGGTGGATCCTGTTCACCACATTCAAAGCTAAATATAAATTGACTGGGGATCATCACTCATTGTTGAAATCAACATAGTAGACCCACATTTATAATTGCTGGTTTGGTGGGTCCCATCCACTATAAACCCAAATAAGATTTAATAGTTAGTGTAATATTCAGTGGATTTCATCCACCTCAGGGGATATACTCCACTCTTATAATAGATATAAATACTTCTGTTTTGATGGGTCCCACCCATAATTAGGGGGACCCATTGTCATATTCCGTGGATCTTATCCACGTCAAAAGAAAAGAAAGTAAAAAAAGGACTATCTACTGTTTTAAATAACATGATTCAATGGGGTCCCCTTTCAGCTTAATAGGTCCCACTACCAAATTAATGGTGCGGTAGGTTTCATTATGGAATTTTTTTTATTTTAAAATATTCAAGTGGGTCACACCCATTATCAAATCAACCTAGTGAGTCCCACCTGTTAATGGGCTCATTATTAAAATATTCAATATAAAAACGATTAAAATGGGCCACACCCACTATCAAATCAATCTAATGGATTTCACATGTTAGTGGGGCTTACTATTAAAATATTCAATATAAAAACATTAAAGTGGGCTATACCCACTATTAAACCAATCTAATGGCCTGTCAGTGGGGCCTACTATCAAAATCTTCAAGTTTTAAGTCTTAAAGTGGGTTATGCTCACTAACAAATCAAACTAATGGATCCTACATGTTAGCGGGGCCCATTGTCAAAATATTTAAGTTTAAACCTCAAAGTGGGTCATGTCCACTATCAAATCAAACTAGTGGGGCCCACTTTTAAAATATTTAAGTTTAAAATCTTAAAGTGGGTCATGCCCACTAACAAATCAACCTAGTGGGTCACACTGTCAAATATTTGAGTTTAAAACATTAAAATGGGTCATGCCCACTATCAAATCAAACCAGTGGGTCCCACCTGTCAACAGGGCCCACTGTCAAAATATTTAAGTTTAAAATATTAAGGTGGGTCATACCCACCACCAAATCAGTATAGTGAGTCCCACATTTTACCGATTAACGGGACTCATTGTTAAGATGTATAAGTTTAAATACATAAGTACCCAATGGTATATGGGTCCT